GACCATAAAGTGAGAAGTAGTCATTTTCTCATAGACTTCTATACAATCAGAGGCGTCGCCCCCTGATGGTCATTAGAGAGAATGCAAGATTATGACACTGGCATCAAATTTTGTCGTGCTTGTATCAACCTGGTGAATGTAAGTCCTATATTCACTCTCCTTTAGCTCTGTTTCTGGTCCCCACCAACTACTGAGGTAAATATCAGTCTCTTTAGCAGCTAAATGCTTCACTGTGTTCAATAGCTGTGTCCGTCTGCTTTTTGCTGCTGATGAGGTAGTGTACAGTAGCCTTGTAGAGCTGTTTCACTGAGGACTGCTGCCTGCTGCGGCCTAAACAACACTATGAGAGCGGAGAACCAGACATCTGCCAATATCAGGACGCTGTCTACAGACGCGCTGCAATTTCAATTAGTATTAATTAATTATGTTCGAAGTTTAATTATTTCTCTGTTAATCTAACAATTAATCTCTTTCAACATTTGAGAGTCACACTATAACACATTTGTCCCGTTTTTGCACAACGTTGGGTTTAACTCCCAGCTGGGAGCGCTTGAGAGGCGCCGTGTTCTTTCAGCGGAGAGCTTTGGTTGCGTCCGGTTGCTATGATACAGAATATCCTTAGAAGTGGAGATGTAGGCACTAGGTAGAGGACTTGCTGAAGCACATTGGGATAGAGGACATACCCACCGGTCCATGTGGGTTCATGAGATTTAGTGGGCATTTTGGCGAGCAGGCTACCATCTTTTGGTTCAACAGCTGAAGTTGGAATGAGCCCGCTTCAAAGAGTGGACTACTTTTGTGGTATTTGTCCCGCCCCTCCTCTACTGTGATTTGACAGCCAGAAAAAACCGCCAAACGTGCAGCGCTCAGTGCAGATTAGACGCTCAGCACTTCAAGCTACTGGTGTTTGTAGTATAGTATAAAAATGAGGAGCTCCCACTGCAAAGACTTATAAAATACGCTGATGTCAGGAAAAAAGCTGTGGCTGAACAACTGTACTGGTGACCCGTGTTGTTTTCTATAATGTGCCTACAGGCGACTCCGGGTCTCCCTGCGGGAGACCAGGAGCTCACAGGCACTGTGTTGGCGACCCCTGCTGTCGGGTTTACTGGCCCCACATCATTATTCAACATATGAAGGAATCAGAATGCATGAAACAGTTGCAGTATGTAAAATCATATTGTGCAAACTGCAACATAAGAAAACTTTTGCTTCTCTTTGAAAACTAAATATTGTCAGATTGTTGAGTAAACACTATAAATTGACCACAGATCTGCTGTTGTTGGAAGGTCAGTGACTGTAGCTCCACTTTCAGCTTGCGTCAGTATTGTTGGTATAATGTTGGGATAGCAGTTTGGCAGAATCACTTTATACCTTAAATCCAGTGTTTTGATCATTCATCTGACCCCGTCTGTCACACATGTTTTGTGCTGAGGCGACAGAGTAAGTTGCTGGTGTTAGCACCACTGGCAACAACAGTGGCTGCGTTGGATTCTTTTAAACCAAAAAACGTCCAAACAGCAGACAGTTCCTGTCTTGGGCTTTTCTGAGTTTTTCTGATGCATCTCCGGTTTCTCTTTCTGCTGTTCATGAATGAGCAGCAGTGACATAGCGTCTCCCAGCTGTTAACAGACGGTTATGCTTCTGCTAGCAGCTGTAACGTTGCCCAGCATGCCGTTGGTGGTGTAAATTTGTAATTGTTTTAGTGTTATGGTTTATGTTGTGTTCATGGTGTGTTAGTCGTGGGTTTTGGTGAGAAGGGTAAGCAGTTAATAGGGCTCCCTCTTAATACACTTACAGCTTGCCCTGACCATAGCGCTCTTCGCAGCTATGCACTGGTGTGGAGTTTATGAAAAATTCATATTGTACAGGAAATTAAAACTGATATACCGAGCCAGCACCATGGTTGGTTTGTGGTGTGAAAGACAATGGTCCAAACTACAGGATTTTATGATAGCAAACATGGGATTCTAACTACAAATACATCCATCTCCTGATTGTGAAGCGATCTTATAATTGATGTGGATATGATAATGTATATAACCTATTTATGCAAATCAACACAAACGCTCGTCAGCTTGTTTTCTTTCTCTGATTAACCGGTCAAATGCTGTTAAAGCTGCTGTGCTCGTATCCAACTGTGTACTTTGTCAGTTCAAGTACTGCATAAACCAAAAGTGTCCAAGTAAATTGCCGAGAACTGGTAATGCAGTGGTATTGCTAAATTTAGGTCCAACAGACAACTAAACAGTCTGTAGAGCAGCTGTAAAACTGTCCTTTGTAGTTTTATTGAAACTATTATGATCTTACAGATGGATAACCAATGGCAACAACTAATTGTGCTCTCAAAATGTTGTTTTATTGTTGGGATTTTCATTTCAGTAGTTTTGCAGCCCAAATTTACAAATAATAATAGTACACCAAATGTAAAACAGAACATGTTCAAATAGTTTTGTCAACTGTGATGAATTGGTATCAAAGAGGTGCAATTGTCAGCTGTGGATGACATCTCAGCTTTCTCTTTGGAACTATAATTATACCCCCCTCCTCCTGTGAAGCACTCACCCTCTCCTTCCCATGTCACATTGCAGTGGTTAGTTTTTGAAACAAAAAACCCCACTGGATGCCCTGACTCCAGTTCCGACCTCAATCCACCCTTTGTGTTTGCAGCTTGCAGGAAGGTGTGCGTGTGTGTGTGTGTGTGTGTGTGTGTGTGTGTGTGTGTGTGTGTGTG